AAAGCCTGCTAAGTCAAAAAAACATGAAAACGTGTGACTTAGGCAAAATTAAGGCATCCCGCTGGACTATCAATTCAAAAGAATTAGTTCAGGCAAAAGTTAGGGAAAATAAAAATTGCAAAGAAAAGGACTGCAAAGAAAAGTCCTCAGCAAAGAACAAATTGGTGACTACAAACACGAAGACATGGGGGTGGTTTCTACTCCGAAAGCCTCGTCGTTTCCTTGACCGTCACAAAATCCTTTTGAAAGATGAACACTCATGTTGAATTAACTGAACATAGGGTTGGAGAACATCATGAAGGGGGTGGGCACCAAATATGTTGAGCCTTAAATCTTTTTTCTAAAAACCATGAACTAGACCACGTTACAACCTTCAAAAGTCCTAATTGAAGCAAGATTATTTTGAAAGCATACTTCAATGAGATAGTGTTCCTGACTCCCATAAATGTTCTAAATAGTTATGATGGTATCATATGTTTTTCCTATACAAAAATAAATGGTGCTCTAACTCGCAAAAATTTGTGCGATATCTTTTCAAAATCTTCAAGACTTACATAACTGTTGCATTAGAATTTTCATTCTCATAATAAAATTTTCCAACTGCAAAACATTTGTTTGATATCAAGGAAACTCACATATAAGCACCAGTGATGAGTTTTATTCTTTTAAGGCCTGAAACTATGTTGAGTAATTGGCGGATCACGTCAAGAAAAATCATATCCAGGAGCATGTCACCTGAAGACCTTAAGCACGGACATGTTGCTTCTCCCAGCTAATGCTTTCCTAACTTGTTTACTCTTTTGGGGCAAATTTTGAAGACTTTGTTGTGCCAACTACAGTCAATCCGGGGCAATCACGTCGAGATTTGATGAATTCCTCTAAGAGTTTGAAGACACCAGAGCATGGTGAATGCCAGGTCTTTTGTAAAATCCTCTTGAGACGATTTCTCCTCATCAACCAGATAGCTTGGGGCATGTTAGAAGTGAAGCTATTCGCGAGAATTGTCGTGCATCTCGCAGCTTATCAGCAGTAAACTTGGGGCATCCAAAATTAATCCCAGGGGCAATCCAGATTTGTCAAGATATGTTTTCAGAGGGTGGTGTTCCCAATATCTCCAGCTAAGCAAGACTTCTTTCCAGCTGAAACTTTGTTTGTGTCGTTATCCTTTCTATGGATTGTTTGCAATAGAAGACTAGACTTTGAGCTTTCTACCTGAAAATATCTTCCTCTCCAAAGAGATTTAAGCCTTGTAAAAGGACCTTGCTCCAATGATGGCCTGTGTTTTATCTCCAGTAATGTTCCCATCCTGTTGAGATTAGCCGAGTGTCGAGCTGTACTATAACGTCTTATCATCTTCAGTCTATCTCCCCTGTCTGTTTTGTCAGCACATACACGGCATTCATTTATTCATTCACATTGGCATCATGCACGCACAGTTGTATTTGTTGATGTCATTGAGTTCGTACACCTTTGGTTATGTCTATTTCAAATAACATATTTGATCTTTCTAAATAGAGTGTCAACTTAAGCATAAAGTGTGTCTTTTTTCTAATTCCCCACTGAGTTAAATCTCGTGGAAGAATCTTGCTTTAGCTTTCCTTTTCCATCTCTGGATAGGATAAATCCCCATTTGAGTTGTTTCCTCATTGGGTGGAGTCTTGTTTGACTATTTTCTCTCCAATTTATTCCTGGATTGAGCTTTGTCTCTTGTGAACGATACCCCGTGGATCTCTCTAGGCTGTGAAACCTAGACGGAGAGTGCATTTATTTTGCAACGTAAATACTTGGTCTCCTCAAGAAGGATTTATTCATGGTTCCTCATTGAAGATGAACTTTATTCCCCAGCAGTGTTATCATAACATTCTTATGGAATATCGACATGACAACAAGCGACTGACTCTTTACTTGAGCAGTTTGATTATTTCTGATTTCTCTACGACAAACGGCGGCCTCTTCATGAGCAGTTTGTCCATCCTCGATGAAATTATTGATTCTCACCTCCAGCAATATCTTCATGATATTTTATGGGTATCTTTTTGAGAAATAGCAAGCGGCAGTCTCTTCATGAGACAACTTGTGTGTTATTGATACCTTTTAAGAAAGCAACAAGCGGCAGTTTCTTCATGAGACAACTTGTGTGTTATTGGTAATTTTGAAAAGACAACAAGTGGCAGTTTCTTCATGAGACAACTTGTGTGTTATTGATACTCTTGACAAACAGCAAGCGGCAGTTTCTTCATGAGACAACTTGTGTGTTATTGATACCTTGAAAAGACAACAAGTGGCAGTTTCTTCATGAGACAACTTGTGTGTTATTGATACCTTGAAAAGACGACAAGCGGCAGTTTCTTCATGAGACAACTTGTGTGTTATTGATACTCTTGAAAGACAACAAGTGGCAGTTTCTTCATGAGACAACTTGTGTGTTATTGATACTCTTGACAAACAGCAAGCGGCAGTTTCTTCATGAGACAACTTGTGTGTTATGGATACTCTTGACAAACAGCAAACGACAAGCGGCGGTCTCTTCATGAGCAACTTGTACGTTATAGACATCGTTGGAAAACAGCAAGCGGCAGCCTCTTCATGAGCAACTTGTATGTTATTGTCACCTTTGAAAACAACAAGCGGCGGTCTCTTCATGAGCAACTTGTATGTTATTGACACCTTTGAAAGATAGCAAGTGGCGGCCTCTTTATTTGAGCAGCTTGTGTATCCCCAACAATAATGTCTACTCAGCAAATGGCATCCCTTTCGGAAAAGTCCCGTGGGGAAGTTTGTTATTTTATCCTTTTCAAGCGATATCTTGGTTAAAGAAGAAATGTGTTACGTTCTTGGTAAAATTCAGAAATCAGAGATGTTTATCTCCAGCCACAGTGCTGATGTCAATCATTTTGTTTTCCAGCCACAGTGCTGATGTCAATCATTTTGTTTTCCAGCCACAGTGCTGATGTCAATCATTTTCCAGTCTCAGTACTGATGTCCATCATTTCCTTTTCCAGTCACGGTGCTGATGTAAATCATTTCTTTTTCCAGTCTTCGTACTAATGTAAATCATCTCTTTTCCAGTCTCAACACTGATGTAAATCATTCAAGAGTCTCTCATTTGAAGTCTATGACTTTGTTTCCCCAATGGAGTTACAACCTCTTCCTCTGTGGGATTACTGTATAATGTGCTTGGTTTCTCCAGCATAGTCTGTCTCATATGGCGTCATTCCCCATAAAATTCAAAACATCACATTCATATCATATTGTAAACATAATCGCGGTATCTTAAGGCCAAAAATTGTGTATTCTATATTTAAGTCCCTTCAATCTCGTCGAAATGAAGATCCCAATCTTCATATCTCCAGATAGAAGAAACTTAAATAGGGGCAGCTGTTGTACCCCAATTTTTGACCTAAGATCCCACTTGCATTTTTGCATTTTTTATACAAAAGTCAAGGTCGCTAATTATAGTCGGTTTTAACCTCTCACCTTCGAGCACTGGCTATGCAGAATTTGTCAAGTATTTTAAACATTCTCAGCCTATGTATCATTAACTTCTACTCTAGCATGTGTATTTCTCGTTCCTTTGTTTTCATTTGCAGGAAACAGATCTGAATCAAGAGCATCAGGCGTCACGCCTCAATTAGGGTTCAGAATCTCTCAAGCCAGAAGTACAGTTAATCGTTGGTTCGTGAAGACTGATTCATCAGGAGAATCGTGCGTTTATTTCCGCGCCTTGTTCGACAAGTGGTCTCGAGCTTCTCTACAACTCTCTTAGAGCACAGACAAGATTTCATCATCACTGGTTCACATGTGCATCAAGATGCTTTGGAATGCAAAGAAAGATCAAGTTTGCGAGTCAATTCAAAGCACTTTGTCCAAAAGTCAACGCTTGCACATTCAAGTTCAAACGATCGTAACTTTTCATTATTCAACATTTTTTGAATGGTTACTTTTGCGTACAATTTTCTTTGACGTCATCTCTAACCCCTCTTTACCAGTCAAGGTCTGATTAGGTGCGGAGGATCATCAAAAGTTCGGATACTCAGAGGTCACTTTGATGACTGTGGCCTAATCTCAAGTAACAATTACTCGACTTTCAAGGATCGTAACTATTTCGATTTTCATCATTTCGGGATGGTTCTTTTTGCAACATGTCACAAATGATGTCGTCTACAAGATTGCTTCAAGGATCGACATCCGAATGCGTTTGGAGGGCCATGAATTTAGCTTGAACATTTTAGGCTTAAAATTGATTTTGTATTGAGGTTGTTTTCCACTGAGTCAAGGGTAAAGACAAGATGTTGAGTTTGAGGATTCATTGATTATATATTGCTATAATACAAGTTGCTTGTATTCGAGCATTAGTAATTAATGAATTAAAATTGGATTTAGATCAAGTTTCTTTGTTTGTTCATCAAGATTCGGTTCATGGTAAAAGGTTTAGGTGTTTTATTTGGAATGCATTTCAAAGTAAAAAAGACCATTCAAGGAATCCAAGTTCATTCAATTCTAAATTCAAGAGTTTATGAAAGACATTCAAGTCTTATTTGACTATGTTATTCAATAATTATTTCAAGTCCAGACTTTATTCAAAGCTCAATTTCAATTCAAGTCTCATTTAATCATATTCAAATCCAAATTGTGCAAGATTATTTCAAGGTTCTTTTCAAAAATGATGCTTTGTATTAATTCAAGATTCATAATGCACTTCGCAAGTCGACATTTATTCAAGAGTTTTTATGGACATATCATGTTCAGCAAGAATTATTACAAACTCATTCCAGTTCAAAAGTCAAGAATGAATGTCATCTTAGCATACAAGTTTCATCAAGATACTATGGTTCATCACCATGTTACAAAACAATCATGAAGATACATAGAAATCCCTAAGGTTTTCTTCTTTCTAATCTTCAAATTCCACATTAAAACTCTGCATATCAGTCCAAATCATGCTTCAAAATAATCCATGCTGTGTGCTGCCCACAACTTGCCAAAAACATGCTACTGCAATGCTGCTCCAAATCCTGTCAAACCTGTCCAAAAATAAGTCAAAATTCTGCACAAATAATGCCAAAAACCTGTCCAAAAGCAGTATAAAATTTCACAAAAATAGAGGATGCAAATCCTGCATCAGAAAGGGAAAAATCAGCATATCAATTTGTCCAAGACCCACACATTTTCCCTCCAAAAGATTTCATTCTGAAGGGGGGAAAACAAAGTAAAAACTGTGAAAATTTTTAATAAACCTCCAAGTTTAGAACAAAACTTCAGAAGAGGACCTGCTGTAAAAACAACAAAAAAACTACACACTACCTCTCATCTAACCTCACTTAACTTGAAAAAAACCATTCACAGTAAACCCAGCTCTTCCATCACAAAGCCCCCTAATCGCCTACAATTTCCTCTCCTCACCGAAACCCCTTCATCTTCGCTGTATACGATACAAACTTCTCTTCAAACATCCACTAACATTCCTTACCCACCTTCCTGCATCATCTCTCTCATTATTCCCTCCGCCCACGAGTATTGAACTTATTCACCATTCTAATACAGAAGTGGCTGCTAACACACTGCCTGCCATTCCTTTGCCTTCTCAGTCAGCTGCTACTTCTGTTTCTGTACCTATTCAAGCAAAAGGACATGGGAAGAAAACTCAGAGTGGTCGTGAATTGTCTAGACGTAGAGGGAAGAAGCAGGTTGTGATGTCACCTCCTGTGCCTGATGGTTCTGTTGGTCCTGATGCCAAGGCCAACATGCTGACAGATTCCACAACACCAACGAAAAACCAACAAACCCAAATAAATGACAGCAAAACTCCCAATCACCATTTTCAACTTCCCGTCAACACCACCTCCCTCTCGTCTCCGCCTAGCAACCTTCTTCAACCTTCTAAAATCCACACACAGTTCTAACCTCAACTCCCAGCATCCACATCGTAACCCTCTTCTTCCAATCCAAAACACCACCTCCTAAATTCGAATCCACTAATCTCCTTCATCAATTTTACCACAGAATTCCTACATCTAATAAATTGAAAAAATAGGTTTGAAGAATAGCGAAATCAAATGCCGCTGGCCATGAATCCCGCTTCACCATCATAGGGGAACGACTCAGGAGGCTCCAAGTTACGCATCGGTATCAAGAAAGTGTGAAGAAGAGGACAAAGGAGCTTACCTCACGGCGGGGCCAACACAAATTCCGGCGAAGCTTGTTCTAGGTATGTCCTTATCTTCACAACTATTCCCTTTTCCTTCATTGCTGTTCTGCAATTTTATCAGGTTGACGATTGCTGGCGGCGCAAGGTTGAGGAGGTCGGAGGAATCGCGAGAGGAGGAACGAGATCGGCAGCTTTAGAAGGCGAGAGAAGGTGACCACTTTGCATCGAGATAACTGAGGAAGAAAGCGATAGAGATATGGAGATAAGAGGTTACCGGCATCGATGATTTCCTGTTCCCTTCCTAACCCATAATGCAGCGCCGTTTACCACTTTTCCATTAGGGACTTTCTTTTCTTTTTCCAACCCACTTCGCGTATTGCAGGGCAACGGGTCTGGGCCTGACCCGGTTCGGCCCGTTTCTAACCTAGCTTGTTTGTTTCAGTTTTCTTTTCTTTTTTTATTCATTTATGTTTATTACTCATGCCTTGGGCCTTATCCCAATCTTTTAAGCCCATCCGGTTTTCATACCATAAGCCCCTCAAATTTGTGTTACACACCCCTTTTTATTGTTAATTTAGTTTAGATTTTAATTAGTAATTTTATAAGGAATTTAGTTAAAATTTTGATTTAGTTTAGATTCAATTTAATAATCCAAGAATTTTAATTTAATAACTTTAAAATCAACTTAGTTTATATTAGACACGGTTTAGTAACTTTAGAATTAATTCAACGTAGATTAAATTTAGTAATTTTAGAATTTTAATAAATCTTAGAGCTTTAACGTAATTTAGGTGTAAATTTAGAAATTTCGTAATCTTAATTTTGTTTAGAATTAATTTAGTAATTTACATATCCTCTTTAGATAACTAGTTACCTTCTCGTTCGTTTTTTTTAATCGTCTTAGTCCTTTAGAATTAAATATTTCATTGCTTTTTCTTAATCGGTTCGTTTAAATTTATTTTCTTGCAAATTCTTGATTACTTATATCGTGATGTTCGTCTTATTTTTTCTGATTTGTTTGCTTCTAATCCAAGGGAAATATTTTAACTCAGTTGACTTCACGTCATCAAATACATCTTCTACAATCGTGCGAATAGCCTCATTCATGTTTTGCTTGCTTACTATTTTTTTTTAAACTTAAGACAATTTTCCCAAAAGACTCCATTTTCAAACTCACACCTTTTAAGTCAAAACTTCGACACTAGGTCGTCGTATCTTCAAAAATCTCGTCCATACCCATCTTTTAGCCAAACGAACCATTTTAATCAAACAAACAATTTTAACCAAAAAAAACAGATATTTCAAAAGGTTCCTGCGGAGTACCGCAGATGCATTGGGTGCTAATACCTTCCCATTGTATAACCAACCCCCGAACTCTCGATCTCTTTCAAAAAACGCATTGTATTTTTATTACTTTTAAGTATTATTTTACATCGCATATTTTAGGGTTTTATTTCGCTCTTTTCCCTTTTCCCTTGGAAATAATAAAGCGCGGTGGCGACTCTTGCTTTTGCGAGTCAAGTTAATTAATAGCTTGATCTCCGATTTTCACCGCTACAGAGCCCATGTAAAAACTGCATCCTGGAAGAAGTAAAACCTGGGTAGGGTTTCTGATGACGAGTCCGTGTAAAACTGCATCTTTGAGAAGAGAGAACCTGTGTAGGGTTTCTTTGACGACGAGCCCGTGTAAAACTACGTCTGGAGAGAGAGAACCTGTGTAGGGTTTCTTCGGGATAAGTTTATGTAAAACTTCCGGAGGAACCGGGGTAAGGTTACTTCGGGATAAGTCCGTGTAAGACTTCTGGAGGAACCGGGGTAAGGTTACTGCAGGATAAGTTCGTGTAAAACTTCTGGATGAACCGGGGTAAGGTCATCTTGAGATAAGTCCGTGTAAGACTTCTGGAGGAACCGGGGTAAGGTTACTGCAGGATAAGTTCGTGTAAAACTTCTTGATGAACCGGGGTAAGGTCATCTTGAGATAAGTCCGTGTAAGACTTCTGGAGGAACCGGGGTAAGGTTACTGCAGGGTAAGTTCGTGTAAAACTTCTTGATGAACCGGGGTAAGGTTATCTTGAGATAAGTCCGTGTAAGACTTCTGGAGGAACCGGGGTAAGGTTACTGCAGGATAAGTTCGTGTAAAACTTCTTGATGAACCGGGGTAAGGTCATCTTGAGATAAGTCCGTGTAAGACTTCTGGAGGAACCGGGGTAAGGTTACTTCGGGATAAGTCCGTGTAAGACTTCTTCTGGAAGAAAAGGAACCGGTGTAGGGTTACTTTGATGATAAGTTCGTGTAAGACTTTGTCTGAAAATTGAGAAGGAACCGGTGTAGGGTTGCCAGATGATGAGTTCGTGTAAAACTACATCTGAGGTTGAGAAGGAACCGGTGTAGGGTTGCCTGTTGATGAGCCCGTCTAAGACTTCTTCTGAAAGAAAAGGAACCAGTGTAGGGTTGCCTGAGGATGATCAAGTAGATAATTGTCCTGTTTGGTTTCGGATATTAACCCACGATCAGTCGTCCACAGAATTTTCCTGGCTTGTTACTAGTGTTGATCTGGAACTGTAAAGGTAGATGGTAATCATCTTTTGATTGACTTTTTTCTGAAAAGGCAAAGTATTAGTCGTATGCAATGTCATGATGCATGAACTGCATGATTTTAAGATGTTCTCAAAAATAAATGAGATTTGTGTTGTATGATGCGTATGCATGCTATAATGTATGAAGATGTGATGTTTATGAATGTATTCTCGTCTGGGAAAATAAATCCTTGACGAATGTCGGGAGTTTGTTGAATCCTGGGCTGATGTTGAAGAATAGAGTTCTTCGTTTCCGCTGGGGATGATGATTGCAAGAACAAACCGGTAGGAGAAGATGACTCCGTTGGGGAATAATCCTGGTGAAGATATTACTCTGAGGGGAATCTACTCATGGAAAGAGATACTTCGCTGAGGTTTTGATGATAACTCCACTGGGGATTCCGTTGATATGTTTTGTTGAGGATTCTGATGAACTCCGCTGGGGGTAGGAAGAGCTTCGCCGAGGACGATCTTTCCGTGGTAATTAGCTGAGGATAACCCAGTTATAAGTTCTAGTGAGGAATAATCTTTGAATAAAGCCGGGGAGATGCGTGTACTCTGCAGGGGACAAGCTTCCAGAATCTACTGGGGATAAGCTTCCAGAATCTACTGGGGAGATTGATTCAACTTTCCTGGGGAAACTTTTGGGCTGTACTGGGGAATGGCTCCACTGAGGTGTCTGGTATTCCGCTGGGGAACAATCTTATATTAAGACTGTCGGGGATGCCTGCTTAGGAACATCTGTATACTCCGCTGGTGAATGCTGAGATTTACTGGGGATACCCAACTTCCTTAAGGCTGACAGTAGATTAACTCTGCTTGGGGAGAGTGTTGTTGACTTGCTGGAGATATTGTGCCTTTTCTGGGCTGATGAGAGACCAACTTTGCTCGGGAGAGAGTGTTGCTGAATCTTATCTTACTCTGCGGGGAGTGAGGTATCTTGGTCACGTTCTTCAGCTGAACCTACCTTGGTACCTTGGCGGACAGAGCAACTAAATCGCTCGGACAACTCACTATTGCTCCTGTTTCTGCGGGAGAAAAAAGACCTAGGAGGTGCTTGATAACTGCTGATTGATGAACCATCTTCTGGTAGGCAAGTGACGAGATAGTCGTACGCTTTGATCCCTAACTTTTGCCTGGACCGCCTTTTCGGGTTTTCAGTCCACCGGGATACCCATTTTTGCCCAAGCCGCCTTTTCAGGTTTTCGACTTGCCAGGTGTACAGATTTTTTTTATTTCATCCCTTATTTTTGCCCGAACCCTTTTGGTTCGCCGGGAAGCCCTTATTTTTGCCTAGGTGTGTCAACCTAGCGGGTCTTTAATTATGCGCAGTATTTTTTCGACTATGTCCACGCTCTCAAGATATAGGGAGGTGCCCTTGTTATTGTGTTGTGTTTCCATACTACAAGAAGATGTTTGATCGGACCAGATTCGTCGCTGGAATTCATGTCTAATGCCCCAAGTGATTCAGATGGAGATCTGCCCCTGGCTATTTGGCATTTTGAGAGATTCCCCGAATCTTGACTTAACTGTCCCAGATGATGGATGATGATCATACCATGCCCCTTGATTGGAAGTGCTTTTGTTCATTAGATATTCTTCGCGCGAATTTCTCTGTTGTTCGAACAAAAGGTCATATGCAAACAATGTTCTATTAAAAATGCAAAGCTTATGTCTGTTTTGAAGTTTTTGAAAATGCATTTTTTCAGTAAAACAAGCAAATTATGTAACATGTGATGTCAACTCAAGATTTTACAGCGAGCCTTAAGGAGTCAGGATACCTTTGTAACAGTATGCTTTTGAACTAACCCATGCTTCAGCTAGGACTTTTGAGGGTTATAACATGGCCTGGTTCACGGTTTAAGAAACAAAGGATAAAGGTTCAAATTGTATTTGTACCCACCCGCTCTTCGTGATGTTCTTCAATCCTAAACTCAGCCGATCGTGCATTAGACTTTGTTTGAGTCTTTGCTATGATGTTCCGGTGATGGTTCGAATGTTGACAATTTATTTTGAATAGGCAGTCATTCCTTTTTTGGTTGAGGGTTTGTAGGACCTCTTTCTTTTTTGATTTTGTTATCCCTTTCCTTTTTTCCTGAACTGTTTCTTTTGTGATTACAGTCAGCGGGATGCCCCAGTTTTGTAAGTCTCCTTCATAGGTTTTGACTTGTTGGGCTTT